GCTGCCCTTCTCCGTTACCCCCGAGCTGGACCCAGCACTGCGGGGCGGGGGGGGTGTGTGTGTGCACGTTATCCCATTATCCCTCAAAGGAGCTGTTTTCCCACCCCGGGATCAGCAGCTCCCGCTCCCCCCGCGCTGTTTTCCGGGGGATGTAGGTGAAAGTTGACGCTGGATCGAGGAACGGGACCGGGAGAGGAAAAACAACCTCGACCTTGGCTCTGCTCCTCACCCCTGCCCCAGTTGGCGCCAGCTCCGCGGCGCCGGCTCCCACCGGGCCTCAGTTTCCCCAGCGCTTATCTCCGGGCAGGGCTCCAGGGACCCCTTATCGCTGCGGGCCCCGGCCCCGGCGGGCGGTGACACGGGACAGGGACACGGGCTCATCCCCACAGCTCGCTCCGGGCCTCAGTTTCCCTCCCTGGGGCCACGGCACCCATTGCTCCAGCTCCTGCCCTGCCGCAGTCTTCCCCCCTGCAGCTACAGCACCCATTGCTCCTGGACCACGGCATCCATGGGGTCTTCCGTGCCTCAGTTTCCCTCCCTGGGGCCATGGCATCCATTGCTCCAGCTCCCTCCGTGCCTCAGTTTCCATCCCTGTGGTTCCAGCACCCATTGCTCCAGGATCACAGCACCCATTGCTCCAGCTCCTTACATGCCTCAGTTTCCCTTTCTGCAGCTACAGCACCCATTGCTCCTGAACCACAGCACCCATTGCTCCAGGGCCACGGCATCCATGGCTCATTCTCCTTCCGTGCCTCAGTTTCCCTCTCTGGGATCATGGCACCTATTGCTCCAGAACCATGTCTCCCATTGCTCCGGAACCATGGCACCCATTGCTCTGGCTCCCTCCGTGCCTCAGTTTCCCTCCCTGGGGCCATTGGCACTCATTACTCTGTGACCACAGCACCCATTGCTCCAGCTCCCTCCGTGCCTCAGTTTCCGTCCATGGCGCTACAGCACCCATTGTCCCGAACCATGGCACCAATTGCTTCAAGACCACACCACCCACTGCTATGGAACTACAGCACCCATTACTCTGGGACCATGGCACCCATTGCTCCGGGACCATGGCACCCATTGCTCCGGGACCATGGCACCCATTGCTTTGGGACCATGGCACCCATTGCTCCTTCCATGTCTCAGTTTCCCTCTCTGGGACGATGGCACCCATTGCTTTGGGACCA